AAACCCGTCCAGTCTTCATTTGTTCACCTCTCTCTCCTTATCCACTCTCTAACGTAACTCGTGCTGTTGCTCACTTAGCACCAGTCTTTTCCTCTTTTCATTTTGCCCCGATAGAAACCTTCATTTTTCCGATTTATCTTTTTTCGCAGTCGGCTGTCAATTATCCAAGTGGATCACGTGAAGCCTATCCACTTCAGAGCATGAAGCAGGTGGTTTACTCGAACATCCCTACCGAAGCTCCACGAGTCCCACAATTATATCCGGACTCATGGCCGTTCTCTAAAGAATCTGTGAGTAATCATTTTAACAAATTGGCATTTACGTTTGCAAAAAAATATTATGATTATATTTAGTATCTATCGGGTAGTAAATTTCAAATAATAAAGCTGCAAGCGTGAGTTTTGTAAATTAATTAAATTAATTAGTTGCAGACAAATCTTGAAGCGGCGATATGGGGAAACGAAGTGCTGTTTCACCCGGTCTATGCGTTCGGGACAGCCGGTATTCGTGGAGCCAAGCAATTGACTGCTACTTCCATCGTTTATTGGGACACCAGAGTTTGCCAGAACCTCTTCGGCACATCCATCATGTTCGGTGTCGGCACAAAACATGCTTCTGTAAGAGATATTTAATGACCATTAAAAGATAGTACTGTTCCTCGACGATTCTAAGACCGACAGCAACAGCCTGTCGATGATTAATCCACAGGTAGCAGATGATGAACGCCAGGTCGTAACTGCTGCTGAACTAGCCTTTGGCCCTATTGTTTTATAAAGAAAAGAAGCCCCAAATAGCTACATATAGGTCAGAATTGAAGGAGGAGGCAAAGGGTTTCCCGATGGTGCCAGATAAGGAGAATAAGTGAAAGTTTCCGTTCTCAATCCTGCAATAATTGCTATCACTGCAGACAATATCGTTAAGCACTAGTATCCCTAGTATAAGTATCGTCACTGACAATATTCTTCATAAGTTGACTTGGCCTCCGAAATCGCCAAGAACTTTTTATCTACAACTCCACACAGAATATCATAAAGCATGGGGAGCATGCAGGTACCATCACTCCTTCATCGAAAAAATGCCCGGCATTCAACTACAACAACAACAGAATGCACCACGCCCTACCAGATTCAAACAAAGATTTGTAGACAACACGATGACGTGAAGCTTATGATATGGGCCGGACATCCTTGGGGAGCAATGTTCACTTTCATGGACTTTTGCCCTCCTGTTTCACTTTCTATCTTCTTGTCTTCCAACATGAAATAGAAGAGTAATTTCTCAAGCTGCGATTGGCAATCGTAAATCTTCCGTGATATCCGCGTCCTTCTTGATTTCGTGTTGTTAATTCTTTGATTATTTAAAAGTTTAAGTAAATATGGAGAGGCAAGTGTGTATGGTGATAAGCATCACAGCAAGTTACGGTAGAAATGTTCATGAAGCAATTCCTAAGAAGGAAAATTCCGTTTAGAGACTGAAATTTACATTACCTCAGGAGGAATCTTTTGGTTTTTTCCCGCTTCAAACTCGAGAATACTTTGGGTGCTGAGTTTGTAGCTGTATCTTTTTCCATTTTACTCCGTAAGTTATGGTATCATCCCAGCGGTGTCAAGTTTGAATTTTGCCGAGGTTCCTTACAACAGTGACTTTCTTTCTGCGCTACTGCCGTCTTCGGGAACATCGATCGGGAACTTGCTACTCCATCTCCATACATGTGAGGAGAGCAAATGCGGAATAGAAAAAGTAGATTTTCATCTCGACGGCGAAGAGCGCTTGGTCGCTATTCCAGCAAGATTTTATTACTTTTTATTACTATTTTTTAATTATTATATTATTTTTTAGTAATATATCTCATATTACGAACTGGGCTTTGAACGAGCTTCATGAGCTGTGCATTATTATATCGAATGGCTCTGCTCCAATTGCCTTTGTTAATGTGGCCCTCACCTTATCACTTGTTTGCCCAAGTGACTGCAGATAGCGGTCAGCGGATGACCCTCGTCCTTTGGTGTACCACCGGCGGAAATATGGCTCAGCTTGGCTCGTAAAGACCGACGCAAACAATACGTAGGGCAAATAAGTGCAAGCGGGATAAGAATGTGTATTGAGTAGAACATCGCTAATTCCCATTTCTGTCCACGTAATACACGACATAAAGTCGATTTCGGATATACAAAGTAAGATGTTTCAGACACGAGCTCGTTCGCAGTTTGTCGATCTTCTCGGTGAAGACGAGCATTCTTACGGTCTCAATCAAAAGGGATTGGTTAGGCACTGTGGAATTGAAGTCGCTGTTTGTGAACCCCTACCGTACAGAGAGTAAGTGATGTTTATTTTATGAAATGACCACACTTTTCTTCTCAACTTTCTTACTTTTCTGCTACGTGCAATCAGTTTCACACATTTACAGTG